TTTTTTTTTAGATTGGCTAAAGGTTTGTTGATTTTGTTTGTCTTAAAAAAACAACTTCTTTTCATTTATCTTTTGTATTTTTTAGTCTGAATTTTATTTATTTCTGCTCTGCTCTTTATTATTTCTTATACTAATGTTAAGTTTGGTTTTCTCTTGCTTTTCCAGTTGTTTAAGAAATATCCTTAGGTTGTTTATTTGAAGTTTTTCTACTTTTTGATGGAGGTGTCTATTACTATAAACTTCACTTTTAGTGCTGCTTTTGCTGTATCTGTAGGTTGTGATACATTGTTTCTATTTTTATTTAACAAATATTTAAATTTCCTTCTAAATTGGTTAATTGACTCAATGGTCATTCAGGAGCATATTGTTTAATTTCCTTATGTTTGTGTTGTTTCAAGTTCCTCTTGTTACTGAATTTTAGTTTTATTCCTTTGTAGTCAGAAAAGATACTTTATATAATTTCAGTTTGTTTGAATTTTGGGGACTTGTTTTATGGCCTAATATATGTTCTGTCCTTGAGACCGTTTCATATACTGAGAAGAAGAACGTGTATTTTTCACCTGTTGGATGAAATACTCTGTAAATGTTTATTAGGTCAATATAGTCTATAGTACAAATTGAATCTAATGTTTCTTTGTTGATATTCTATGTAGATTATCTGTCCAGTTCTGAAAGAGGGGTGTTGAAGTTCTCAGCTATTATTTTATTGGTGTCTAACTTTATCTTTAGTTTTAATATTTGCTTTATATATGTGGATGTTCCAGCATTGAGTACATATATATTTATAATTCTTATATCCTTTTGTGGGATTGACCCCTTTATCATTATATAATAACATTTTTGACTCTCTTTACAATTTTTGTCTTGAAATCTATTTTATCTGGTGTAAGTACAGCTACGCTTGCTCTTTTGGGGTTTTGGTTTGCATGGAAATATTGAAAATATTTCCTATATTTTCAGTCTTTGGGTGTCTTTATAGATGAAATGAGTTTCTTGTAGGCAGTATATGATTAGGTCTTATTTTTTTTCTATTCAGCTACTTTTTTTTTATTTGAGAATTCAGTCCAGTTACATTTAGTGTTATTAGTAATAGGTAAGGACTCACTACTGCCATTTTGTTACTTTTTTTCTGGGATTGTATTGTTGGTCCTCCCTTCCTTTCTGTCTTCCTTTGTGTAAAAGTGACTTTCTCTTGTAGTAGATTTTAATTTCT